TCTTCTTCTTCGTCGTGATCTTCTTGCAGGTGCGCGGCGGCTTCTTCAACCTCAGGTCCGCTATGGCGGACTATCACCCTCGGCGGCCACCTTGGCTATGGCGCATCAGGTCCTGCATACGACGGTGCGCATGGAATAGCGGGTACCAGCTCCGATACCAATGCAATCAGACTCGTCTTATTCACACTTTTCATGTATGTAAACAGCAGCACAGTACACTGGCGACATGCGCCCACTCAGAACTCGGAGATATGGCTTCCAGATACGAGTTCACTTTGAACTGGCTATGGCGACTTAGCGCCCAACAACTCACTGTTCACACACTGGATCACCCTGGATATCCCACACACGTCACTCTGAGCACTCACACATGCACACACACTCTTCCCACTAACTACAGCTATGGCAGCTATGGCTGCCTCTAACCTATCGCTATGCTAACTACTCCTCTCTCGCCCACTGCGTCCTCCGGGCTCACTGCAGACCTCCTTGCACAAGTCGCTGTGGCAGCGCTTCCGCATGGCTCACGCAGGAATGAATGAATGGCTGGGCGCTGCCTCTTGATTTATACTTCTGCAGGTCGTTGGTCTGGCCCATTTCCCTTGCCCAAAGTGCACACAGTCCAGTGGGATCTGCAGCAGCTACTGCTAACTGGTGAATACCGTTTCACACCCCACCAGCCATCACAAAGGTGCAATCGAGGTCAAACTCCACAAAACGTAACACATCCTCAAAGCTCACGTTAATCCAACCAACCGGAAGGCCCCCCATCCTCACCTTCGCTTCCTTCCCTCTGCTCTTCAGCATCATGCCACTTGCCCCTTGCAACATCCAGAAGTCAACAATCCATCTTAATGCATCCAAAACTGCGTCATGCTGCAAATTACAAAACATTTCTTTTATGTGGAATGCCGCAGTGATAAATTCCTCTCCTGGAAACAGCTTCTTGTTAGCCTCCGATAACCTTTTCACCAACTCCTCTGTACATCTCATATTAAAGTTACATCCTGATGGCAGATCCCACCACAGCCGATTCACCACTCTGGCCACCTGTTTGCTGGCCACCACACCACCTTCCTCATAAGTCGGGCATATCAGCCGCCATTTCCTGGTGTCTTCATGCCTTGGCACCAGATAACATCTGCCCAATTTACCCTTCAAGTTTCATTTCCCCAAATGTCGCACCCCTAGCTCTCCAAACTTCTTTCCATTCTCGGAATTCACACCCACCTCATTTCTTAAGCACCCGTCAAACCCTGTGTTCTTCAAACACATGGTTTCCATCCCTTGTCGATACACCGTAGGACAGCAAACCAGAGAGTCCCCAGGGTTGTGGTCTATTGGACAGCTCACCAAATCATCGAAACAGGTCTTCCACATTTTAACCTCAGCCGTGTTACACTCCCCCTCATTCTTGCAAACGGGTCTGTTGAAACAATCATTCCACAGATCTCCCGACATCAACCCACAGAGCATGTCACGGGAAGCTGAACCAGCCCCTATAAAGGAGCTAAATGCCACCAACACCTGTTTTTTGAGAGAAAGCAATGTGCAGCCTCGCGAGGGCCTAGGTATGTTCTTCGCATTCCTCAACCATTGCGGCACGAAGTCTACCTCGCTCAGTCTAAAACAGACATGACCATCTCGCCTAGGAAACTTCCTATCGCATATTTCACATGCGCACACCACCTTCTCCTCTTTAGCAGCCCTTCTGAAGTTGTACAACATCTCCAACACTTGCGCTCTTCGTCCATACAACCCTCATCTGTCTAATCAACATCCACTTCCACCCCTTCAATATCTTCATTGTGTCGACGCACACAGCCTTCGAATCCCGGCCTTACTCAGGCTCTCATCAAAAGTAACCTTCACAATTAACCGCTCATGAATGTTTATCCCAAAATTCCTTCTAATAACACCCGACACCAGACACCTCAGGGTAAATCTGGTCCTCTTCTCCGAAAAGGAACGTACAACACTGAACATCCAAACAAGTCTTTCAAAATCCCACAAATGCATGTCTTTCCGTGACAGCGGGCAGCTTAGCAGACCAGACAGTATGCCTTTTAAGCTGGACAACGAGCAACAGAAAGCTATGATCGACACAAATTCTATCCTCATCCCCGCCGCAAACCATCCCCTTGCCTTTTTCATTTGCGCCGTACCATACACCGTGCTAACGACAGATGACCCAAAGCATCTCTTAATTATTTTCCATTGATTCACAAACAGACTTCCTCCACAGCATTCAATACTCTCCTTACACACACCTTGTTTCCGACACTCATTCAGGACTTCGATTAGACTAACAGATGCAGATGCCTTGTCTGGTTTGAAGAACATATGTGTGTGTTGCACCTCCGTTGACCTCCTTACCGCACCCTGTCCTGCCCGTCTTCTCCGTTCCCTTTTCCCAGCCCTCCTTCGCTTATGCCTTCTTGTCTTTTCACGACTATTCAAATACGGGTTCGTCAATCGAATCATGAATTTTTCAATCTCAAATGCGTTCTTCTCCATACATTGAACAATTGGTATCATCACATACTGCTGCAAGCCACCAGCGAAGCCATCTGTACAGCCTCTGGTTCCTATGTCCCAATTCTACCACACTCTGATCATTCACTCGGAAGGCATGCTCTTTCCATCTAGTCTCAAGGCATCTCGTTGTAGCCCCTACATACAAGTGCTTATTCCAGGGCGAAATAATCATATACACCACAGGTCCTTCACATCGAACCAAATCGACACCCTCCTGGTCAATCTTCCTTAAATAGTCAACAAACTTGTTAGCCCACGGAATTCCACGATGCAAAAGTAACGACAACACCACCCGCTGGTACACACCCTCTCTTCTCTTTCTTTTAACCACATCAGGTAGATCCGTTCGCAACCCATTCACTATCCTCCAACAGCTAGCCGCGTTCGAGACGCCCCCCTAAGCAGAGTCCGAGGGGACCTCCTCCACTTCCACGGCAACCTCCCCACTTTCCTGGCTCGTTGACGCCTCTTTCTCTCTTTCCCTTCCAGCCATTGTGGCAGCCTCATCACCACATCTCCCAAAGTGTGCGCTGGCTCTGATTTCTGTGAGCTCTTCCGCCGTAGTTTCCACCATCCTGTATGCAATGCCTTACTGTCTTCACGCACAAAGACAAAACGGTCATCCTCCTTCCTAGGTGTCTTAATCGGAGTCATTCTTGGTCTTCCTCGCTTCACCGTCCTCAAACCACTGGTTGCGGCTTCCTCCAATCGTCCTTTCAGGTTGGTTCCACCAGTCGGCAGCACCGCAGTCTCAGCAGACAGCTTCTCCATCTGCTCCCGCAGCCTCGAAACTTCAGCCTCCGCCTCTAACTTCCTTGCTTCAGCCAAAACCTTCTCAGTTTCCACGTTCGTTTGCTTCTTTTTTAGTTCCTCCACCTCCCTTAATGTACAATACTCTTTTTCTCGCATCCTCCTGATCTCCTCCCTCAGATCCTTCTTTGGTGTTGCCATTACACGTTGCCTCGATCTTTCCCGGTCATTCCATTCAGGCGTCACAGGGAGAGATAAACACAGCGGAAGATTTGTGTATGCAATATGACAGGGTACACTGAAGGTGCAATTTACTCCACTCGATCCTCACAGAAAAGCTGAGCAGATCACATCCAGGAAAAGAATGAAACGATGATAGTCCAAACCCAGTTACACACTGTTTATTAAACTCAGAGTCTAGAATTGTCAGGATAACTTCAATACCACAGTGCGCTGCTCAGAAATGAGCAGCGCTTCACTCCCCAACCCTGATTAGCACCCGTAACACCCCTGAGCCCCTGAAACATCAAACGCCACCCAGATACAGCCTCCTGAGGGAAGCGCCCCGCTGAAACAGGCCTCTGAGGCCAAGCGCCACTCAGAGGATGAAGAAGAAGACCAGCGCCACAGTATCTGATGATGACGAAGTGTCGGAAGACTTCCCGGATGGAAGTCTGCAGCAGCGCCACCAAACGCTGACAAGATGACCTTTGAGGAAGAAGCTGCAGCTATGGCTTCAGCGCCACCACCCTGGAACCCCACTCCGGAGGAGGGTCCAGCAGGGCACCAATCTCTCTCGCCTCCAGCAGACCTCAATAGCCCAGACCTCTGTCAGCCCCTGCGTGCTGGCAGAGTACAGCGCAGGTCCCAGCTATGGCTGTCGCTCCGAAGGTCTGGCTATGCCCGTCTCCTTCCACGCTGAGCCGTCACCACTTCCGGTTCACGCGTAGCGCAGCAGCGATGTACTCGGTACCAACTGCC